GCAGCCACAATAACCACTCAGTTTAAAGGAATACTCCACCCAGAAATGCTAACGTTGCTAAGTATGACTAGTAGCAGTTGCCATTTAGCAGCATGCAAATGAAACCAGGTTACTGGTCTCAACAAAGGTTTTACTGTCACTGTCAGTCATATTTATGGGTGTAGTATTCAGATATTTAAACATGAATTCATGTGAATTCATTCATATTTTGAAAACAGTTTACTGATTTAGAACATATTTAAACAATGGTATTTAAACTGAACCAAGTGTACAGCCTCTTAGATTGTGACTTCTCTGATAATACACTGAATTGTAGGGCTGGGACAATAAGCAATTTTGAAGAATTGATAATTTGGGACATAATGTAAACATATGTTTTTTTTTTTTTAATTATTGTTATTGTATTGTATATTACAGTTATAATTAGTACATCTAGGACAGTTCCCTTTTGTGCCAAAGGGGGCGATAAAGTGTAAGGCCTTTTCACACTAAACTTTGTGTTTTACCGACCCTCAAAAAAGGTTTGTAGTTTGTTATACTGTTAGTGTGTATGTATATATTTATGATTAATCATGTAGGGACATACACATTATTTTGATGCAGAAATGTAATCATTAATAATTGTTTAATTATCTCATACTCATAACTCATATCTATAAATTATAAAATTTAAATTTTTAACATTTACTAAGTTGCATACAAACAATTCATACGATTTGCATTCAGTTTAAACTGTTCATTTGATGCTTTAATCATCTCTTTGTCAACTTTCAATGTGTTCAGTGTTTTAAAACATGGTAAATAATTTTATGCATTGTTAAAATTAATAAAAGTGATATTAATATCTAGATTTATAAATACATTAAAGTTCAGTGGCAAAATGAATGATTCCTCATGTTTAAAGAAGTAAATAATGATGATTTAATATTGATTAACTAATTATTAAGTAACTGTGCATCACAGTGTAGCAGGATAATAAATAAATACTAGACAACTGCACACAATTTTACATTGTATTATTTATTGTGTATGAGTTATGAGTATCAAAAAACTAAATAATTATTAAAATACTATTATTATGATTAGGTTTCTATTCAAAATAACTATTAATTATTTGTATGTTTCTACGTAAATACTTAATAAATCAAGTTTTAGCATTCATTCAAGCATATATAACAATTATATAATGATTAACAATCATTATCAAACTATTAAATAATGACTAGATTGCTGTTTATTAGAGCCTGTTATTATAAAGTGCTACAATTCTGCTTATCAAATTTATAGATGTTATCAATAATTATTGTTAAATTGGTCAGTGGTCCCAGCCCTATGGAATAGATCATGAAAGGACCAGAAGAGTGCATTCTTTTACTTTTGTTTTCAAGAAACTGCTTACCACAAGCCCTCTAGTTGTGGCAGTGTATCCACTTACATTCTCCTCACAATGTGTGTGGTAAAGTATATGACAGAAAGTAGTCAACACTATCACAAGTTAACTGTAGATCAGGGGTGCTCAGTCCTGGTCCTGGAGATCTACCATCCTGCAGAGTTTAGCTTCTACCCTCATTTAACACAACTGATCCAGGTTATGAAAGCTTTCAGGGGTATTTACCTTTTAGATCCAGGTGTGTTGGATCTGAGCTCTCCAGGGTAGCAGATCTACAGGACCAGGACTGAGCACTCCTGCTGTAGATGTTCTACAAACCTCAATTCTAGAAAAGTTGGGGCAGTGTGTGAAATGCTAATTAAAACAAAAATCTGTGATTATTAAATTCAGTTTGATGTATCAATATGAAGACAGTAAAAACATGATATTTTATGTTTTACCTTATGAATTGTTTTGTCTTTTGTTGTAAATATACACACATTCCAATGTTCATGACTGCAACATGTTCCAAAAATGGTGGGAAAGGAGCATATTTACCACTGTGTTACATTACCTTTGCTTTTGATGTTTGGGAGATTAAGACACCAAGTGATTGTTTTGAAAGTATAATTTTTTTACCATTCTTCTGTTAAACAAGTCTTCATCAATCAACCTTGTAACCATAATGGGCATTCATTGCCACACTCTCTATTCTTTTAGTGGCAAAAATGAATGGTTCCTTATGATTAAAAAATAATAATGATTTAATAATGATCAATATAGCCATGCTGCTGAAACATATGATACATGAATATGGCTTGGTATTGTCATGTTCGTAGGTGTCCCGAAAAAGATGTCATCTAGAAGGCAGCATATTGCTGCTGTCAGAACAAAACCTCTTATCTCCATTTTTGTTGTTTTTCAGTTTTTGAGAGGATTTAAAAATGTCTGTTGCCCTTTATATTGTGTGTTAACTTTGTGATGAATGGACCAAAAGAAATGGCCCAAAATTACTTGGAAAAAAGTCTGGTTCCATTCACTTACATTAAAAGTAAAGTATGTTTTTTCTTTCTTCTGCAAAGTTATCATTTTGCAGATATGAGTTTTGTTCTGACAGATGTTGCTCCAATATGTCTTTTAGTATTAATGGTGCTACACAGATGTACAAGTTAGCCATGCCATGACAGACCCTGGCTTTTGAACTTTATGCTGGTAACAATCTGGACGGTCCTTTTGGTTTTTGACCTGGAGAACGCAACATCCATTATTTCCATGAAAGGTTGACTTGTTAGACCACAATGTACTTTGTTTCCACTGGGCATTAGTCCATCTCAGAAGAGCTCAAGCCTAGAGAAGTTGGCAGCGTGGGAGTTGTTGACATGTGGCTTTTGCTGTGCACAGTGCAGTTTTAGCTTGCATTTGTGGATGCAGACACAGAGAGTGTTAACTGACACTGATTTGTCAAAGTGGTGGAAAATGTTTTAAGTAGCACAATACTGTAATGCTTAGTTCACATGCTTTCACACCGCTTCACTTAGCACATGGTCATTTTAGTTTAGTTTAGTTTAGTTATTCAACATATAAATTGGCTATGAAGACAACAATATTCTTGAGACGTACTCTTTTAATGAAAAGACATATTTACATTGATCTGCTCCTCTCTTTACAGTTACAGGTGTGGCTGCAAAAATAATTATGAATACACTACTATAAAAAGTCATGTTTAACACTGCGATACACAAACAGTATAACTTAATATTAATTAGCCAACTTAAATGCCTGGTGAACAAGTGAGCTAGCTTGCAAATTACCTAACAGTAGGCTAATGTTATTAACGTTACATATTTCTACAAGGTTGGCAGGTCTGCGTTAAATTAACTCAATTCACGATTTCAACTTTCCACAGCCATCCCAGTCCATTTACCTTTGCAAAAGAGTTAAGAGCACCGTCCTGCCTTGTGGAAGCATCCAGATGGATAATGACTTGAGGTGCGGAATTTTTTTTACACAAACATGTGAACTCAGCTTTAGACTTGAGTACTGCACATGCACGATTGAACTCACAGGCGTCACCAGTGTCTTGCATAGTTTAGCGTGACAAATTGTACCAGCGTACTTTTGTCAAAATGCGTACAGATTGGCTGGTATGGAAACATGTTGCAGTCTTTAATTTCATAATGAGCTTATAGTTACAAAACAACAAATAAGTTGATAAGATAAAACATACCTTGTCTTTGTACTGTTTTTTATTTACATACAAAATGTAATTCTGCAAATCACTGCTTTTTTCTTTTTACTTGCAGTTTGCATACTGTCCCATCTTTTTTTTGGAATTGAGGTTTGTACATTCGGTAATTGATCTTATCTGTATGTGACACTTGACCTTTCTGTGTGCTTCTGTGCTGTCTAGAGCTGGTTGTATGACAAAAGATGCTGCTATATTTGTGGTGTGCCTGCAGTCTCCAAATGGGTTTGGCCTTGTAATGGCCTCTAGAATCTCAAACAGCATATCTTTGCAGCTGAAAAGAGCTAGGATAAAACTGGACTGATTTAGCCTTTAATGGCAGTTGCATTTCATGTTGAGTTACCAAATGCTGACTGTACTGTATTTTTTGTGGCATAATTCAATTATTTTAACACAATGATTATTTCTTTGAGTATACGCTTTTAAAACAACTATTAAAGAGGAATTCCACTGAGTTTTCAAAATTTCTGCATAATTAAAGTTCTAACAGAGTCATTCAGAGTGGTTTGGTGTGAAATGTTCCATTCTAGAGAAACTTACCAGGTCAGAATTGCTCACAGTGGTTTTGATAGACATCTAATGCCTTTAATCGCTCCCTCACTGACAGTTCTTACATGACATGGTCACAAATATGCTGCCTGAAACTTTCTTTTACAATAGTTTTGAGATTTTTTTGATCTAAAGAGACATGTTAAAGGTATTTTAAGGCAAATTGTTACTCAAAGAAAACTTTTTTTCAGATTTAACACTTTGTTATATACATGACATAAAAATTTTGAATACTTTTGATAATAAATAAACTGGCTATTATGCTGTACACAAATATAGTGACCCCTGACCTCCACTGTATAGAAATCTGAGCCTGCAAGCTTCTCTACAATAAACAGTTTCGCACTTAACACTCTGAAAGACTTTGTTTAAATCTCAACCATTGAATTGCAAAAAAAATTTGAAAAATCAGAGCAATTTCTTTTTAACATCTGGTTTTATCAGATTACTTCCTTTCACTACAAAGTCAATGCAGTCTTAGCTTTTAGATATAACAACACTCAAACAAGAGGCATGAAAAATAGCTGTTTTTGCCCTCTACATAAAAAATTAAAGATCTTTCCCACTCTTCTAAGCAGTCCACCTCCTGAAGCTGGCCCAAGCTGAGGTTCCTACAGTGCAGTCCAGCATCAGTAGGATTTGCTTCCTCTGCCTGATCTAGAGCACAGAGACGCATAGAGGGATGCACTGGCCTTCAGGGCACCTCTGGCATATGTGGCCTTAGTCTGTCAGCCTCTTGACCCTGTTAACCCTATTGCTTCGGGGAAGGCTATCGCCTGACCTCAACTGGGACTGGCCAGAGTGTACTACAGATGTTACCAGAGCTGTGTAGTAAGCTCATAGGCAGTCCCTGCACAGCGCCACCTGGCCTGGAAGGTAGTCTCTACAGGGACAGAGGCGGCGGTGCTTGGTGCTGACCCCAGCACAGCTGAACAGAAGCGGCTCCTTCTGCAGGAAACACTCTCTCCTCTCCACAGCCACAGCTGGGAAAACATGGTTCATCTCTGCTTCCAGCGCCTCGCACTGGACGTCCAGCCTAATCGAGACACACACATGCACTTTTTTAGATGTGATGGAAAAGTGGACAGTGTGGCACCATTTAACAACATAGTACAAGCATTCAAGTTGGCACTGTGAGAAAAAGTGTCACATTTGAAAGGCTATGAAAACTATGAGTGCAATGATTTTTTTTTTAATTCAACAAAATATACATAAATTATAAACAATAATTTAGTAAAAAGATAATGGAGTAATATTGTGACATAATCAATACTAGATCTTGCTGCTTGTTGTAATAGATTTATAATTGGACTAAATCTGTCTTTTTTATGACACATTGTTCAACGTTGTAGGAATACAGATGATACCCTTGATCATGGATGCCGACTTGGAGTAACATTTGGGGTTGGGTCACAAAAAAACAGAAATCTTGAGTTAATATGTTTAAATGATTAACAATATATCCCGTGTGCGTCATCGAAAAGGAGGAAACTGGCATTAACTCACACCAGCAGGAGCTCACACATACACATATGCTGGAAGTTCCAAATCGCATGAAAACTACAAGTAGCTGAACATAAGACACATTAACACATACAACACACTGAATTTAGTTGTGATTGCAGTTTAGTTGTGATTGATAGTATCAATTGTTTACTGATAGTGAGGAGTGTTTCCTTTTTCAGATTAATGATACCACACTGTGTTGGCCTGTGCAAATGATCACAAGTAAAAAAGCAGCAGGGGTGTTATGTCAGAGTTGTGCTTAACATCAGTAACCCTCTTTGTCCTAGTATTTGAAGTTACCTTAGGCCTTGAGGACGGTTTTCTCTTTAATTTGACGTTCTTACCCATTGAAGGCCTCCATGTTGTTGATGAAAGTGAAGAAGGCAGGCTCGCAGACCAGGCCCGAGTCCTGGCATGTCTTCACACAGGAGAAAGCCTCACGAGCCAGGAGCAGCCTGAGGGCACTGAGAGGGGGCCAGCAGGCTGGAGCTGTGACGTTTGGGGCCCACACCACAACTGTGGAGTTAGGAAGGAGGACGAAAGGGCTGGGTGGATTCCCAGGCCATAGCTTGGAGTCATTGGCTGAGGGAAAATGTCCATCCAGGTGACAGAAATCCTTTGAGTGAGAAAAGGAAACACATAAGTACAAAAAAGTAGGAAAGTCACTTAGGTTGGCTACCTTAGTCATGTTGAACACATCTCAATAGCTCAATGGGCAGATGCATGCTTGTGTTTATATGTGCAGGAGTCTAAGTCCATTACCAAGAACTGTTTGCATTTCATCAATTATCCTAGATAAGGCTTATTATTGAAGAATGCTGAGAAATATAACTGAGAAAAATCAGTGATTGAGTCAAATCCGTGTTTTTCAGCTTTTGGTGAAGCTGAGAGAAGTCACCCGTCTTTGTGCCTGGCGGACATGCTAAATGTTGAGCCATTTTGGCACTGAATGAATATGAATGAAATATAAAGTAAAAACATTTGGGAACTAGAATAAGACAACAGCTGCATTCATTTTTCATAGCAGATTAAATAAAAACAATTCTTGGCATAGGGCTCTATAGGAGGCCACGGTGTGTGTGCTGAATAGAAAGCGTACCTGATGCTGGATGTAAGCGTTTACTCTCTCCAGCATTCCTTCACAGGTGTACTCATATGGCAAGAAAGGCTCTACCTGCACGCACAGAATACAAAACAGCAGTAAGCCATAATCACAATCTGAAACACTGTGGTGTTTTGTATGTGAAACAAAGATAGGGACTTGACTCTGCGATTCAGGCTCGAGTCACTCTTGAGTCACATTTTGATTAACTTGTGATTTAACTTGGACTTTCCCTTAAATGACTTGCGATTCGGCTTGAAACTTACAAATTGTGCAATTTCAGCCTAAAAACACATTAGAATTGCCAAGTTTAATGGAGTAAATGAATGAAAACCTTTTGTTTCCAACCCTTTCTCACACTTCAGAGACTTGAGACTTGACTCAGACTGGCACCTTAGAGACTTGAGACTTAACTTGATGGCTCCAGACTTGAGTCATTCTCACATCTCAGAGACTAAAAAGTTAACTCTGAGGCTCCAGGCTTGATTTAGACCCACACTTCAGAGACTCAAGACTCAACTTGCACTTGCACCTTAAAGACTTGAAACTCGACTTGGGCTCGCATCTCAGAAACTTGACTGAAACTTGCTCTCCTGACTCACACCTCAGAGACTCACAACTTGACTCAGACTCGCACTTTTTAGACTCAAAACACAACTCAGACTCACATCTTAGAGATCTGACTCAGACTTATACCTCAGAGACTTGAGACTCCAGATTTGACTCAGACTCACACCTGAGAGACTCGAGACTAGACTCAGACTTACACCTCAGAGACGAAAGAGTCAACTCACACTTGTACCTCAGAGACTTGAGACTTGACTTGGACTCACATCTCAGAGACTATCAAAAGTCACTATCAAAATCATATACATGCAATTATGTGTTACTGTACAGACTGCTTGGATAATAGATCTCTTATACACTAAATTACATCACACTGCATTCATTTAGTTTTAGATTTAAATCTTTTTAATCCAGCATTATATTAGGCAGATCAGCAGTGAATGTAATCATATGTTAAATGAAAAAAAGGAGTTCTAATATAATCCCTTGAAAATCTATATTTTTTAGTGGTTGAGTCAGTACTTGCACATATTGATAAATACTGATGGATATTTGCTGTAAGAAACCGCATAGCATACTAGGTCTTAATCTGACAAATGCTTCCTGTTGGTGTTCATTTATTAGTTTATTCCATCAAAATGCAAATGTAGTGCTATATATCAGCCCAAGAGAGCCACAACTGGTTTCATGCAGATTCTCCTACAGATTTCAGGGAGCCAGTGACGTGTTAAAATTACTTTCATGGTAATGATTTTTTTTTTCTTTTCCAATTTCATTTTCCTGTGCTTCACTCTGAGCCTATTTTGAACATATTGAACATTTCTGCAAAATTGCACTGAGTATGCTTATGAATGATTACAGCCACTCTGATTGCACAATAGATGCAAGTACGGTGTCTAGCTGTTTTCCACTGGGTTACAAATCAAAACTATTTTCTGGTAATAAAATGCATATTTCATGCACTTTTAAAATGGATTTCCAATGTGGAAAGAGTTCAAAATAATGCTGAAAGCTCTAAATAATGCTGAAATAGCAGTTCCATAGTCCTACATTTGTAAGTATAGAAATGACTTGATTATAAAGCCATAATAAAGGAATTATTGAAGTGTCCTGAGGAATATAAGAATAAATGAGTAATTAGGGCGACTCAAGAACACACGTGATAAGCTCCGCTATACGAGGCACAGAATGCATCAGTCAGCTGCATCAGTGCTGCAATTTAGGCTTTGAATAAAACATAAATTACTGTATTTATTTGCAGCATACATGCATTATGCAATCTAACAAGGTATAAACTATATTAACAATGCAAATAAGTTTGTAGAAGTGTCATCTTATAACTTTGAAATGTAGGATGACTGCATTATTGTTATTATTATTATTATTATTATTATTATTATTATTATTATTATTATTACAAACCCAATACCAGAAAGGTTGGAACAGTAAATTAACATTAATAAGAGTTAATAACAGAAAGCATTATTTATTAAAGTGAAAAAAGTACAAAAACAAAAATATTTTTTACCTTATCAACTGACATTCTGGACAGTCCTTTAATTGTTTGACCAACAAAAGCTCATTATTTCCATAAACTATCTGAAAAGTTCACGTTTCCACTGCCTTTTCTGTTACGCTCAGAGATTTATCTAGACTCCCTGAATCTTTTGATGTTATTATACACTGTAGAGGGTGAAATACCTAAAATCCTTGCAGTTGTTTACTGAAAAAAGATTTTCGGCAATAGGGGCGAGCCTCGATCCATCCTTGCTTATAAAGGATTCGGCTCCTTTTATACCTACTCATGATTGCATCACCTGTTTAAGGTGTTTTTTTGAACATTTCACAATGTTCCTAGTCCTAAATATCTCATGCCTTAACTTTTTTGGAAAATGTTGTAGGCATCAATTTCAGAAGGAGCTGACATTTACAAAAAGCAATGGAGTTGATAAGTTAACACTTTAAATATCTTGTATTTGTACTGTTTTAGTTTAAATACACAACAAAGTAGATATGTAGATATGTAAATCACTGCTTTCTGTTGTCATTTGCATTTTACACACTGTCCCAACTTTTTTGGAACAGGGTTTGCATTATATTACTACAGTGCTGTGAGATGCCAAGAGTTGCTCCACTGAACAAAAAAACATTGAATAAGTGGTGCACTGTGTGCAGGTGTGATTGTTTTGGCCTCCTAATGTGTTTAGTACAGGAAAAAAACAGCTTGTCTCTTTCCAAAATGTGCCTTATTTGTTGCTCGACCACAGTAAGCCACTGTGTTTGGCTGGAGTTGTAGTAGCAGTCTGCCTACACGCTCCTGGAAGGTGTGCGAGCAGTCACGCTTCACAGAGAACGATTGATTGATCGTGCCTGCTGGTTGTGGAGGAGACAGATTGAGCACTCTTGGGGTGATTAATGCCACTGGCTTTTCTCCAGCAGGACAATATGTGGAGCGTGGTGGACTTGCATGGGCTTTGGCTGCGAGCCATGTGAACCCAGGAGCACCCACAGTTCAAACAGAGCAATCCTCTATTCACTGCTGCTAATAGCACCATGGCCAGCGGTGAAGATACCTAGCAATCCAAAGGCTCTGGCTCATTCCATCTAACTGGATTTGCCGAAAGCAGAGCATCTGAGGCTGCAGTCAAAATCCCACATGCTGCAAGACACACAATGTGCTAATTAGAGGATTACTGTGTGAAGGTCACCTTGGCTTTCAGGACTTCCCGGATGACCGCCTCGACCTCCTCCGAGTTGTTGTAGTCTACTGTGATGACTTGGGGTCTGCCGATATACTGTTCAGCATAGGGATGTTGAGATGACACCTGAGTAAAGAAAAAAGAAGAAAAGAACGTAAATAGTAGACCTATCAGCCGTGTACAGCATTAGAAGTGTAAGTACATATATTATTGTTCAAAAGTTTAGAATCAACATTTGCAGTAAGCAAACATTTAGTATAAAAGATTCTAATATGATAGCCATGTGCAATTTTCAACTTTGTACGTTTCAAATAAATTGTAGAAAGCTAGGAAGCTGTATATATATATATATATTGCTGCTGTCCTGCTGTCGGAAGAAAACCTCGTATCTCCATTTTTGATGTTTTTCAGTTTTTGATATAATTTGAAAACACCTGTGTAAATTTCATGATGAATGGACTAAAAAATGATGCAAAATTACTCTGAAAAGTCTGGTTCCATTGACTTACATTAAAAGTGAAGTATGTTTTTTCCTTCTCCTGTAAAGTTATCAATTTGGAGATATGAGGTTTTCTCCCAAAAATAGTGATGTGTGTGTATATATATATATATATATATATATATATATATATATATATATGTAGATGATTCTAAAATGACTGAGAAAACTGCATAACCCGAAAACCTTGTATTTCAAAGTTGATCAAGTCTTTCAGATAACATGACAAAAGCCTGTACATAGATAATTATGGTATATTCTTGATCTAATAACTTATTGTTTGTAATTGTTTGTAATGAGTGGACAAAATAAGCTTCATCAGAGTGTATTTATTACTTCTGGTCATTCAGTACTGTTCATTATATGAGCACAGATTGTAGCCCTTTTCCTCCCATTCATGCAGCTTTTGGGTTCTTGTTACCTGAAGATGTTTTTAAAAAGCCATTTAAAAGCTTTATTTGAACCAGACGGCTACAATTGTGATTTCTATCATAGCAACATACACTGCGTGAGCAGCAGGGCTTCAGCCTGCATCACTACAGATGGTTCAAAAGGTCAAACTAAGAAAATGCATTCATGTCATTAAAAAAATATATATATTGTGTTGAATCTACACACAGTCATATGCAAAATTTTAGTCACAGTTCGAAACGTTTTGTTCATTTTCTGAAAGAAAATAAGTGCACATCTTTTACAGAGAACACACTTCTGCACATTTTATTTCACAGTTGCTGTGTATGTGCTGAATTCAACATATTGTCCAATATGTGCAAATCCCACCCCCCCCTCCATTATGTTAAACTCTTTACAATTTTGCAGAAAAATGCAGTATTTAGATGTGTTCTCTGTAGATGATGTCTACAAAAAAATTATTTTCACTTAGAAAATCAACAAAACATGTAATTTGAAGAGGGGTGTTCAAACTTTTGCATGTGACTGTATATATCATGACACGTGATTCCAAACTTTTGAACAGTAGTGTACAAGCAGACAGAATGAACCTTACAGTACATAGTAAACTTGCATTGTATTGTAGGTCCTACTGGGTAAAGCCAAAATCAGTCCAATTTTACAGCCTGAGCTGGTCTTTGTGACCTTGAACCCACCTCTCTGGACATGGGCTTCCCTCTGAAGAACTCGTTGTTGAGAGAGCTGCGGGGTGGATGGAATTTGGGCTGCAGGAAAATGCAGCCATTGGCTATGGCCTCCAAAGGAGCAGGACCTTCATAAGGAAAGCCAAATCCTACAAAAAGCTGAGAACAGGTTTTACAGTTAGAAGAAAGAGACGAAGGCAGAAACTAGTATAGCATCCAATGTTTAACAGCAGTAGTACTAATCTAACTGCCCCTAGGTATTCCTACTGTGCAGAAATCTGTACACATGCACAATGAGACCTATGCCTAAATAAATTTTGTCGATAAAGGCACAGTTGAGAAATCTATGATATGCTGACAGTACCTTGGCCTTTCTAAGGAGCTGCTGGAGCTCATGTTGGGGCAACAGGCCATGGTTCCTGACAAAGGCAGGTACTTCTGGAGGTCGCTGGGCCTCATAGTAGACTGTTCCATGGATGTCCATGTAGCGGTGCAAGATGGTGAGGAACTTATCTTTACCCTGCAGGATGGAGGAGAAATATGTAAAGGTGTAAATGGGCGCTCCTGTGGAAAGGTTTAGTAAACAAAATCACACATTTTTAACCGCTTAAATGGCCAGGGCCAACCTGCGGGCCCAAAGTTGTATTACAAACATCTATAACCTAAGAATAGTTCAGCTGGATTGATTTAATGTCCCTATAGTTATTGAATAATAACCCTTAGTAAGTAATATGCCTGGGATTTTGAGGGGTTAAGGAGATAAAGTCAACTGAACAAATGTGTGGAAAAAATACAAATAGATAAACGAATCCCAGTGGTGTTGACCAATTCTTACTGCTAGCCTAGCTGCTGATCTATAATAAATACAACCAAGATAGCATTAGTGTAAGCTTGTTTATTGAACAAAACATAAAAAAAAGTAAAAAAGAGCAATTCTACCCTTTTCCAGCACAAAATTCCACTCTTTTAGCCAGGAAAAAAGCCAAACGGAGGTAAGATATCTATATTGCCAGGTAGCTATCTCACTAACCTTCTGTATTAGCCAGCTAACAACAACAGGCCCACCCCCATAGCATTTGTAGGTTTTCCCACCTTCAAAAGAAAGTAAAGAATACGAAATGTAAGGAGAGCAAAGCATGTTAAGTATTTAACTCTTTTTGTCATTTGTTATTTCATCTAAAAACTGATTGAGTTAGCTATTACATCTGGAAACTTGAGTTAGCTCATTATTAGCTAGTTAGCTAGTCATTATAGCTATGGCCTATTTCAAGATATCATACTAGACTAAAGTGCTAGAGACACTAGGAAGGAAACATCTCCAGCTGTTGGGAGTCTAGAAACTGCTAAATGGATAGCTCGACTTCTTAATATGGACAGCAGTGATTTATATGGATTCCTGCTTGGTATGCAGGGCAAATGGGGCTTCAGAGGTTCACATTGAGCGTTAAAAGCCATTAGCCTTTGATTAAAGAGATAATATAAAAGCTAATTAGCTAAGCTGCACTCATTTGTCCCAACAGAGAAAGACAAGCACACTGAATTCTGGTTTGATTAGAAACACCAAGGCCAGGACTATGATGCAGCCAAAAGACAAAACTATGGAGGAAACTTCTGAAATATTTGGTCTGTGGTTAATTTTCTGTTGCATTATCAAGCATAATATCACACTGATTTTGTCATGATAGGACTTGTATCTGTGCTCGCACTAATGGTTTCGGCCTTTACTTCATGTTACCTAGAAGACAGTGGCGGTGACAACAGCGTGGGTGCAGAAATATCCACTTATTCATTAATGGAACATTTTGTTATCCTTGAAATACGTTGCAGTAAGTGTGAGAAGATATCTGCAGTCTCAAGACATGGAAGCAGTGCAGAATCATAATTAATCTTAGAAATACTCTTAATGTTTTATGTGTGGCCAAAATATCATGAACAATGCAGTGCTGTTCTTCCCCAGAGAACGTTAAAGTTCCTTCAAACTTAAGAAACTCTCCATGCGAAGCAGAGCATAAATAATTTACCCATTTAAATCATTACTTGCAGCATAATTCATAGTGAAGTTCAAGTAAGAGTTGCACCTACTGTATCATATCAGACTCTCTTAGTTAGTCTGAGTTAGTAGTGAAGGTAGTATCTCCCTTGGTGAAAGAATAGTGCATTAGCCTATTGCCTTGATTTAAGGGGAATTCCACCAATTTTCCAAGGTTTCTACATAATTCAATAGTAACATGTACACAAAGTCATTCAGAGTGGTTTGATGTGAAATGGTATACTGTAGAGAAACGTAGCAATCAGATTTCTGAAAAAATGTTCTTTTCTGAAATGTCTCAAAAATGGTTCTTTGTGTGAAAAACTTCTTTTGGTTCTCTAATGAACCTTTCAGTGGATTGTTCTTTAGAAAATGTGAAGATGTGAGATGTGTGAGCATGATTATATTAAGAAAAAGTGATTTTTTGAATGATAGCCATAGAATAATGCTTGGTTCCCTAAAGAACCATGCTTGAAAAGAGATTTGTGAGTGTGAAGAACCTTTTGGAAGTTTTGAAGAACCTCTACATAATGTAAACATTCTAGGAAGAACCATTAAATTGTACCATTAAATTAAATATAGAACCTTTATATTATGTGAATGTTCTTTAAACCTGAAAAAGACTCTTCACACTCATAAATATCTTAATAAACCAAAAATTCTATGGCTATCATTCAAAAATTAATTTTTATATAATCATTTTATTTACTATCCAAAATGACAAATGAACCCCCACATGTCTTTTAAGTGTTTGTATGTAATGGTGACAATGGTAAAACAGAGGTACATCTGAAAAGAGAAAGTTTTGAACGGATACTATTCTGTCTTACAATGCCCTGTATGTACATCTCCCCCATGAATGGCTTTTAAAAATGGCTTTTAGGTTAAAATCTTACCTTAAAACTATTATAATACAATATCTCAGTAATCAGACAGGTTTTAGTCACCAGCTTCAGATGTCTGGTTGTTATTGCCACTATTGTGAAGATCTCTGTCTCTATGTTTCTCTAGAATGGTGCATTTCACTCATTTCAAATCACTCTGGATGACTTTGTCTACATCTTAATGCTTGAGTTGCAGAAATTTTAAAATTGTACTCATACAGACTTTTGACAGCAGCATCAACAGCTTGTGAAAGTCCCAATCTCCATCATGAACTTTTCAAACCACATTGAATGGAAAGAAAAGTGAAGTTCAGCAGTATGTGAACAAGCTTGGCACTGAAAAACCTTTCCTAATCTTCCAATATGTGGTAAAGCAATTTTCCAGAATGGATGTGTGGAGGAGGAATCAAACAGCTGGTGAAAGAAGTTAGGCTGTCACCAACAAAGAACTGCCATTCAGAGAATCAATGGCAGGTGATTCGAGTTGTGCCCGTCTTCTGAATGTGGGCATTGTTGCTGGCTGTAGTGTATTGATCTGAAACCATAGCAGTGAAGAGCGACTTTAATGCAGAAGAGAATGAGAGAGAGCAGAGCCATGAAGAGGCTGCCTTTACTGCAGTAGACTCAAATAAACTAAAGAAAGCCTGTGAGACCTTAGCAGGCACAGATACTCCCACTCGCACTTTCCTTCTCTTCCCACATTCACTTAGGTGCAGATGTAGAAAGATTACCAGAAATCCTTGCTTAAGTAAAGGCTGATTTAGGGGGTGTTCAGGTGGTGCCTTTCTCTCATGCTTAAAAAAAAATCAGGACACCTTTCTTAACTAGGTAAGAAGCGGGTCATATAAACACACGAGAAAGTGATTTGAGAGAACACAAAAGATATTTTGAAACTGACTGTAAGTACTCTTTTTCACGTTCAGTTTGTGTTGTACAGCTCTGAGTGTTCAGAAATTAGCTTACTGGTGACTGGACAGAAAGGTGACCATGACATTGATTGGTCAGCTGTCATGACATATGCTGCTTTTCCATTGGTACTCATCATAAAAGTTGATGATTTTCCAAATTAAACGTGCTGTTTAAAACTGCAAGGTTTGCAGCACAGGCTAGAGAAGAGCTTTTCAGTGAGGGTAGAAACCAGTGAATCTCAATCTTTTAAAACCCGAAGCAGAGGTTTCAGACAGCGTGAAACACACTACCCCATAATGTTTGAGGTTTTAGTTTGCACCAATGAGAATCACTTGTTTTTGGATACAATCATACTGCTCACACTTGTCTTACTCCAGCATATAACTGATGAAGCACTGTTGAAAGTGGCATGTATTTCCATGATATATGAATTGCTTGCAATAAAGTTGGCCTTGTTTATGTTTTCAGGATGAATTATCAACAGCATTTGCTGAATGTCATAAATAAATAAGCTTAGTAGAATCTTTTTTTTTAGATCTAAATCAAAACATGTCAAGCTTAGGAAGAAGCTCTGTGTGTTTATGTATCTATCTTATGTATTTATTTATTTTAAGAGCATGGTCAGTTTGTACTGCACACATAAACATTCTTGATAATCTTGTGATGTGAAGTCAGGTCACGTGCAAAAAACTTTTTGCTGATTCAAAGTTTTGAAACTTTGAATTCAGATGAGAGCAATTGATTCATTACTCTTAAATAATTTAAATGATTCAGAATGAGCATCATGACTTTTCAGTTGTGGTGTGTGGTGTGGTGTTGTCAAAACCGAGACATGGACACATATTTATTGACACAAGTCCAATCCAAGACTTTGTAGTAAAAACATGACCGAGACCAGAATAAGATTTTTTTTCAGAATATACACTGATCAGGCATAACATTATGACCACCTCCTTGTTTCTACGCTCATTGTCCATTTTATCTGCTCCACTTACTATACAGGTGCACTTTGTAGTTCTACAATTGGAGACTGTAGTCCATCTGTTTCTCTGCATACTTTGTTAGCCCCCTTTTACCCTGTTCTTCAGTGGTCAGGACCCCCATGGACCCTCACATAGCAGGTACTATTTGGGTGGTTGATCATTCTCAGCACTGCAGTAACACTGACGTGGTGTTGGTGTGTTAGTGTGTGTTGTGCTGGTACGGGTGGATCAGACACAGCAGTGCTGCTGGAGTTTTTAAACACTGTGTCCACTCACTGTCCACTCTATTAGACACTCCCACTTTGTCAGTCCACCTTGTAGATGTAAAGCCAGAGACGATAGCTCATCTGCTGCTGCACAGTTAGTATTGGTCATCCTCTAGTTCTTCATCAGTGGTCACAGGACGCTGCCCACAGGACGCTGTTGGCTGGATATTTTTGGTTGGTGGACTATTCTCAGTCCGGCAGTGACACTGAGGTGTTCACATTAAATAATATATACCTTAAAAATAACATTAATTATTATATTTGAGTCCAACTTTGTCTAAAGTCTTTGACTAAAGTCAACTGAAATAAATCAAACATACATTTTTAGAAAAAACAAACAAAAAAAAAACATATGGACAGTGTTTCTCCAGAATATCACGTCTTCTGTTTGGGCCTATGTGCTTCTTAATAGCTTGTTCTTGAATCCTCTGAATCTCTCCATCCCCCTTGTTTCTGGCCCTCTTCCTCTTTTACTTTCAACTGTTTTGAGCATAATTTTCTTTTTCATTAAATTGATTATTCTTATAATATGTCCACAATAAGCTTCTGTCTGGTTATTCAGGCTTCGAGTGAGGGTTGAGGATTCATTTGTTTGTTTTCCCTGCTGTTCAAGGTACTCTCAGAAGTCTTTTGGAAGGGCTCAGTATTTTTCTTGTCCACATTTTTATTGTCCAGCTTCTGTATCCATAAAGAACAATACAAATGTCCATAGCCTAGACAATTCTGATCTTTGGTGAGAAAAATCATTACATTCAAAGTTCTTTCTAAGCTCCTTGTTCTTCCAAGTGCCAATCTGTGTCATACGTTTTCACTGCTGGATCCTTTGTTGGTAATAATTGCTCCTCAGAACAATAGACTCTCCACTCCAAAGTTCAGACCTCAACATCACTGAATGTGTTTGGGATTACTTGGATGGTGAGAAGCAGAAAATGCAACCAACTTCTAAGGCTGAACTTTATATCCCTGCAGATTTCATTGAATAACTGATAGCAAATCTCCCGAAAAGAATGTAAGCTTTAATGAAGCTTTATTGAAAACTGAAAACTTTGATATTATCTGTAGTTCTGAAGGCTTTTGTGTAATTTTCTGTAAAATGTGTTTTCTACCTTTTTCTGATGCTGAGAAATAAATAACACATACTTAATGGCTGGTCTAACTGGAAATTGACAATAAATGAGTTGTTTCTGACTTTTTCACAGTTCTCAATTACTTTGATATCTGCTCGCTCAGTGCTCAGTTACAAAGGTGTAGATATATAGACGTGAAAATAGTTGTTGTCAGAATCCTTGTTGATATTCTCTTGTTTGCTTTCTAAAAGACAGACCTTTGTAGCCAGTTAAAATAAGACTTTAATTAGTCTGTGAAGTGTTTGCTGACCCTAGCTCGTGCTTCTCATGCTCCATGCTTTTCTGATTGGGGTCAGGAAGAGCTTGATAATTAGCTAGTAAAATGCTTTTTTTATCTTAAACTTGTGATTTACTATGTATAAACTGTAATTTGTAAAGTTGGAGACATCTCACTGTTAATGTACTTATGAGAGTTGTTAGCTGCAGTCAAAATGTTTATCACTAAAGCGACCTTTTTTTTGAAAGACAGCTCTGTAGCCTTTGGAAATGTTAATCACAGAGGAAATATCTCACTTGTGTATAGGACCAAAGTACTGCAAAATAGATTTCATTAAAGTCATAGAACTCTGTAGAACTCTACTTAAGTAAGTATATTTATGGTCATTATACTTGTACACTTTGCACAGTACAGTAACACTCTTTTCTTTGTATATCCCAGCATAGTCAGAGCGCAGGGCCAGCCATGAAATGGCACCTCTGGTAAATTCTTGTATAAATATGCCGATCAGGCATAACATTAGGACCACCTCCTTGTTTCTATGCTCATTGTCCATTTTATCAGCTCCACTTACTATATAGGTGCACTTTGTAGTTCTACAATTACAGACTGTAGTCCGTCTGTTTCTCTGCATACCTTCTTAGCCCCCTTTTGCCTGTTCTTCAGTGGTCAGTGGGCAGCAGATGAGCTATCATCTCTGACTTTACATCTACAAGGTGGACTGACAAGGTAGGCGTGTCTAATAGAGTGGACAGTGAGGGGACGTAGTGTTTAAAAACTCTAGCAGCACTGCTGTGTCTGATCCACTCAGACCAGCACAACACACACTAACACACCACCACCACGTCAGTGTTACTGCAGTGCTGAGAATGATCAACCACCCAAATAGTACCTGCTATGTGAGGGTCCATGGGGGTCCTGACCACTGAAGAACAGGGTAAAAGGGGGCTAACAAAGTATGCAGAGAAACAGACGGACTACAGTGATAAAATGGACAATGAGCGTAGAAACAAGGAGGTGGTCATAATGTTATGCCTGATCAGTGTATAAACCCCCTATAAATGCTTACAGGCATTTGAGAGGGAAAGTTGATGTATGTTAGCTATTTCTGTGATTTATGGATGATTTTGTTTTGAGGAACTGTGGCTTACGTTCATCATCAAGCATAGGTGAACCTGTGCCTGTAGCATTGTATGCATTTGTAAATATCATTATTTTATAGGCTGTTTTATCTGCATATTTTGTCCAGTTTGAACTGGATTTGTATTGTTTGCTCAAGATGTGTCCCGAAGGAGTACACAGTACAATCCAGCTTAGCACTCAGTGGAACGATTGAAGTCCATAGCTTAACCTAAAGGACGGCTTGTAATTAGTTGTTTTTCTTCAAGCTAACAACAACTGAAGTATTTTCAGCTGACCTTTAGTATTCATTTCAGTCTAACTGGACACAAATGATGCTGTAAAGTACTAGTCAGAAGGGCCACGCATAAAATGTCCCATACAGAATATGTTCGGCCTCTCACAAGTAGAAAGCAGGTCCAGATGTTTGATTTAATCATAATTTCATTTACCCTAATCATTCACCCTGCTATCTTAAAGGGCCCATATCCTACATTTTTCTTTTTTTTTTTCCCCACTGAGGTTAGTTTGCACATATGGACTGTATGATTAACATTTTCTTTTATAGTTTTCTTTAATGTAGGTTGGAGATTTGCATCTTGTGAAGGTCTGTAATGGATTTATCAGAGGTCTACATTTGCTTGCTTAGAATATAAAACATTTTATTCACTAATTATATTAAAACAAATAGTCATGGGCAACATTTGAGACTTGTGTCGGGGGGCCAAGCCATCTCAGTCAACTATATAGCAAGTATAAAACCTATTTTTAGTAAATAACTTACATTTATCAAAGTATAAATGATGTCCTACCTTAGTAAAGTGCAAGACGGCACCCACTGGGCACGATATCAAATGCACTGACTGTTTTTTCCAAGTCCACGTGATATTCAGCACTGCAATGTCAGACAGTCTTTCCTGACTCATAGTAGCCACGTTTACATGCAGCCTAATAATCCTTTAATAATCCAACTAATAGCTCAGTCGAAATAGAATACGTCTATGTATACAGCTCAATCGGCATAGAGCAGTCCGACTGAGGTCAATTCGAATACAACTTCTATACCATTGAACGAGGTGGGTAATTCTGTTAATAATCCGTTAAATAGAAGAGTAATAACCATATAAATGCCTGTATCCGATTACATTCCCAATCAGAAAGTTTAACTATGTTCTGCGCACGTGTGTCGCGTCATAGTGAAAGTTTATAATGTTCAACATGGCGGGAGCAGAAACTGGTCTGCACAGGAGACCAAGTTTATGCTTTGAACTTTAAAAGACAGCGGTGGGATGGGCGTCCAGCTTATGTGTCTCTGAACACGACATCTTCCCCTCAGCTTTCTTTAATAAGTACATGTGAAGTACATTTTCCTGAGTCTGACATCATTTTAAAGCATTTAAAAACACAAGCACTGCTCACTGCTGCTCATCTCACTCTGACTGGACTCACTTGATGCCTGTTGTCATGGTAACGTCTACACTAAGTGGTAGTCTACACAAGAGCATAATTTTGGATTGGATTTCTTGTAGTGTGCATGTAAACAGAGATTTATAACAGATTGTTGAGTAGAGTGAGCATATAAACACCTCAGTCTTAATCTGTAATCAGAATGTATTCAATCGGATTGGCAAAAATCTTTGCAGGTAAACACAGCCAGTGATTCTCATGTAAGTTTTCACTCGATGCAAACAAGAAAAGTTCGTTTCACATAATGCACTGGTCATTGGCACGGTGAGGAACAACCTGAAGAGGCTACCGACGTTTACTAGGCTATCACCCAGATCTTTAAAAAGAGGCCTTAAAAAGTGTTAAGCATTGTTCGAAGCTGATTTCTTCTGATGGCATTGAAGAGGGACAGCTCTGCACTCATTTCCTCTTTGGGAAATCCATAGCGATGACAAACAAATGCCAGGTATGCCTCAGTTGTTTTTCAGTGCGATTAGGCTTTCCACGTAATTGTCCCGAAAACAATCACGGATTTCTTGAACGGATTTGTCCAGTACATCAAAATACAATTCCTTGTAGTAACCCACAGCAGAGTCAGCATCTGATCCAGTCACTGTCACTTTGACCTGTTCCATGGATGCTGTGGGCCTCGGTAGTTACTATGAGCTCACAAGTCAATCCTTTGTTGCTTTGTTGAACAATGGACTGACCACCCCAGAGTCCAGACCTCAACATCACTAAATGTGTTTGGGATTACTTGGATGGTGAGAAGCGGAAAATTCATAAATTGAATGAATAACCGTACTTAATAGTCATTTTGACTAAAAACAAATTAAGGGTGGTCTTTGACTTTTTTCACAGTATTGCACGTTCTCCATTTCTTTGACATCTCTTCGCTCAGTGCTCAGTTACAAAGGTGTAGATAGGTAGAAGTAAAATGGTTGTTGTCAGGAACCTTATTTATATTCTCTTGTTTGCTTCCTGAAAAACAGACCCCTTTGGACAGTCATAATAAACCTTTAATTAGTGAATGAAATGCTAGCTAACATCAGTTTGTGCTTCTCCTGCTCCATGTTTTCTGATTCAGATCATCTGATTAGCTGGTAAAATGCTTTATTTTTCTTCTTCAACTTATGATTTACTATGTAGACACAGGGACATATAAAGATATTTTCAGGTTTAATATCACAGCGGCAGTGTCTAGTGCATTGTGGATTCATTACACAGCTCCTCCAAAATCTTTCTTTCAAATGATGATTGCACGCCGCAGCTGCCTGTCCTCCACTTTACAGCACTTATAACAGCAGAGAGGAAATATTTCATGCACAGTAGGCCATATGCTGCGGGATTTGTTTTCATCTAACAATCTATTACGTCTCTCACTTACCTGGAGCTGAGAATGGTGCAAGAGCAGATGGAGATATAAAGAAAAAGAAAGAGAAATAGAAAAAGAGAAGATTATGTTTTTTCCCCTCCAAGCGTGGCACAGCAATGAAGCTAAGTGACACCTGGACCACAGAAGCGATTTGGGGTGACAGGGCTTAGAGGGCATCACTCAGTTGAAGGAGATTCTACTGCAGATGGTCAGAAACTGCCATTTGTGTAGGCTGAGGCATCAGAGGACAAATCACTCCAGTGTCTGGCAAATTGAGTGCATGTTCTGTAGGATTAAGGGGCCCATATTCTACATTTTTCCTGCAGTTTATGCTTTTTCTTAAACCCACTTATAAGATTTATGAGGTTTTATGTGCAAAAATAGTCATGATTCATTTTATGACAATCTTCCAACCTCAGTTCATTCCTTAGAAATGAGGACGGTTTTTATTACCGTATCTTTAAGGAATGATGTGTGATAATGATCTCTGTTCTCACTGGTTGACCCTTTCAAAAGTGCCCTGTACTGTGCTTCATTTGAATAGCTAGAGACTGTCTGCAGTAACAGAGTTCCTTATCACTTCAATGTGAATGGGAAGGGCCAAACTGCAGCAGGCTGAATAGGTGGTCATATGCTGATGCATTCCTGGTTGTGACATCTGAATTGTGAAGAGGAACTCAGAACAAACTGTTTTCATATATGGGTTATTCTCATGAAAATGACAAATACTGGGATCCAACCTGAAAAAATTAAAATGACCAAAACTGTACTATATGTTTCGGTAATGGCAATTTTAGCTATTTTTGAGCATAACTCAAAAATGCTAGCCAGTACATGACCAGCAAACACAGCTTCGAACAGATGTACACACATAAAATAATAATATTTTGTATTTAAGCTAAAGTACTTCATTATTTAATTGCAGAAAACATGGTTTTGGTAGTCAATTCTTAATATTACAGACTGATTTTCAGACTTTGAGACACATTTACTTCAAAACAATGAGGTCTAACTACTCACCATGTGGCCATGAGGGACAGGGACACAGTCTCACTTCCTGCTCTAAAATGCAAAGGTGTGGCTAAAATGAGGCTTCGCCTACCAACTAAAACTTGTTTCGGTAGTGACATGAAAATCTGGCACAGCATTTTGAAAAGAATTTTTAAGTTGCTTAATGTAAAAAAATAAACTCGTGATTAATTTAACTCTTTTCATTTCACTTGGAAAAAAAAACCCCAAAAAACAAAAAGGTCTTTAAAAAAGAAAGTATTATTTTCAAGTTGAAATTTAGAATTTAGGGTTTGGGACAGACACCTCCCAAAAGAAAATATCCTATAAATCATGTTTTTGTATATATTTAGCTTCTTACTATCCCAGTTTATGCCTTGAGTTTAAATAGATCATTAGGCTTCACCTAAACGATAATAATATTGTTTATCTGTGTAATGCTGATGACACTCAAATATTTATGGAGATGTTTTGAGCTATTTCATCAAAATGATCAAATTCATAGTTTTTCTATGGTGTCACTCAATCATGCTGCCATGATTTCAGTAAGCAACTTCAAGTTCACTTGGCAGTGCCGTAGCTGTTTATTATGAGAAAATAAAGCCATAACTGAGGCAGTAAAACCCACATTTGTATTGCTTTGATTTTATTTGATTTGTTGCTGTAGTGACAAACAAAAGTTGAGATCTAAATGGCTAACATTTCCCACTGTGTTAATTGTTCTGTGTCCCAAATCACATACTAGCACTCTCAATACTATGGAACTCTATTATTTCCAGGGCCCTCAATAGTGTAGTAGGTAAAGTATGGAAGTGTGTGGTTTGGGACACAACCTTAGATCAGCCAGTGAGACAGGTTCAACAAGCAAGGAGCTCCAGTGGCTGATTATAGCTTTGCTGTGCCACTAGGTAACTGCACATTAAGCATTTCCAAGTGAATGTTGAAAGTTATTTTCTGATTAAGGATGCATTTACTGAGGTAAAGGTCTAGAAATTTTCCAGTGACATGATGTTCTTATGCAGCAGCTTCTTTTTCAAAATTCATTCCTAAAATTTGCTCATAGGTTGCCTAAATGTCACTGCTGTGCCATTTAAGGTGGAATGGGAAACTTTATTAAGAAGCCAGCTGCAACTGCAGCTTAATTTTGTTTCTTATTTAAGAACCACTTTTACTCATTTTTGTAAAATATCATGCATGTAAATCTTCTGAACTGAAGGTGTTCAGGTTATATGAATCCAGTCCACCAATCAAGCTCATCTAATTGTTGCATTTTCTGGAGAGTGCATTTAAAGTGTCCACACAGCTTTTCATCTTCTTTGTGATTAAGAACGCCCCATCACCATTTTAGTAGGCAAGCTGTAACTCTGACTATGCCCGCCTACCAAAATGGTGATAGGGCATTCTTAATTACGTAATCAAATACTATGAATATTGGCTGTATTGACCTGGTAATACATGGCCTGTTTTGAAACTTTAAAGGGGACCTATTATGCTCATTTTCAGTCTGCATAATTTAATTTTTGGGGTCTACTAGAATAGATTTACATGTTATGTTCCAAAAATACATTATTTTTCTCATATTGTACATCTTTATTCACCCTCTGAAGCTCTGTTAGAGCTCCTGTGTCTTTAAGCCCCTGTTCCTGATGAGCCCAGTGTACTCTAATTGGTCAATTGCCAGAGCAATTCTGCCTCTACATGTTCCGCCCCTGTCTTGTAGTCTGCAGACAGACTCTGCTGTACCGAACAGCTGTAAACACCACTGTGACTATTTTTCCAATGGCGTCGGTTCTGCTATATTACTTTGAGCCAGAGTCCCGTCCTTAAAGTCAGGTCAGCATCTTCTCAACATGCCTACAACTGAACTAATCCCGGCCTTCAGTATTTGCTGTGCATTGTGTGAGGGCATGCTTGCGTTTGTGTTACGGGATGACATCATCTTGTAACAGAAAAAGGGGCTGGAATTCCAACAAGCCATTTCAGACAGCTGAGAAAAGTGAGTTACTCCCTCTGGCATATACTTTGAGCTTTGTAACATTGCAGAGTGTTGCACAAAAAGCTATATAACACACTAAAGGAAAGGGGTAAACCAGAAAATAATAATAGATCCCCTTTTAACCATGTTCACATAGTACATCCAACTCTTATTTTTAAAAAGCAAGGATTTCTATGCTATGGGTCCTTCAAAGTCTGCTATTTGACAGGTTTTAGAAGAAGCAGCAGTGAGTGCATCTTCCTGTGTTGATGTTTACACGCTGTTTTCTTCTCTGCTCTCTTCATCACAACAAGCGTCACATTGCTAACCGCATGCTGTCCAAAATGCCGCTGCTGCTCAACACTATCAGTGTACCCAACAAGCCATGATAAGAACAAGGCAATCCATCTCTGTGCGTTCCAGCATAGGCGCTGTCAGAAAGTGCCGAGTCTACTACACTTTTCAGGGGTGTAAAATGATACTCGCTCCTCAGAGACAAGGGCCTCTTCACATTACAAGCAAAGACCTGGCACCACTTACCAGGTGAAGGCGTCAGACAATTCATCAGAGAGTTATTACCGAGGCCGCCGTCGACTTAGGATTTATAATGCTCATAAACAGATGCAGCTCAAGAGGACGCGTGTGTCTTGGTAGCTCGATCAGTCAGTGTGAAAAGAGCTCATTATGTTCTCATCAGTCTTGAGTCTTTACATGAGTGAGGTGGCACTCAGAGGCCCTTCAGTCTGTATAAACCATATCATGCGGCACACAGAAATTAGATTCGATGACAAATGAAGAGGCTGATGATCATAAATCCTGCACTCCTATGTGGTAAAATATTCATGAGGTGCTTCTTTTGTTGTTTACTGTGCATCTGCATGTGTTTGTTTTAGTACCTTTTAAGGACAAAAACACAGCTAGAAATCAGCATCCAAAAACGATTTTGTAAAATATAAGAATAAAGATCTTGTGCAGTAAATTATCGTAATCTTAAAATTTACTGGTTTAAGGCATTGTGGCTAAATTTTGGTTACACTAATGTGATCTGATTTTGTCTCAAATTTGCAAAAACTTAATTTGGTGCAACATTTTTTGAAATGAGCATGCTTCAAGCTCACTACTAGGAGGACTTAGCTTTTAAATAATCTGTCTTTAAAACAATACATTATTTCAATAATGTATTGCTTGAAATGCTAAAAAAAAATGCTAAAAAAAATCAAAATGCAAGAGAGGCATGAAAAAACACACACACCAGATAATAAACTGCCTTCTTAACTCCAAAGAGATTAAGTGATCAATTGCAGTCACAAGAGCATTAACAAAGTAAGCTACTGATGTTGGAAAATTAGTTTTGAATCACAAACGCCACTCCAACTTGTTCTAAAATACTGGATGGAGCTCCATCACTCCAGAGAATGCGGTTTCACTGATTCACAGCCCAACGCTGGGGGGCTTTGCATTAGCCATGGTGACATGCAGCTGCCACAGAACATCCCATTGACTGCCTTTCTATAGAAACTGACCAAAAGCTGTGTGTGTACAATTGAACCCATGTGTCTTCAATGGACGCACTTTAAAGTACCTGAATTCTATTTAGAAGAGATGTCTGGATACTTTTGGTCATACACTGATGTACTGACAGCGTATAAAAACAAGTGTGTCTATGCGTGTCCATGCCTACCTTCCACATGTTGGCCTCTTTGCCATAGACCACAGCCATGTTGTTGACTTTCTCTCGCTGAATGTTGAGCCTCTCGGTCTGGTTCATTTCTTCAGCCACGAAACCCATGAAAGAGTTGTCAGGAGTGTGCGCTGTGTGAGAGCAGATCAAAATCCAGTAAATCTCACAAATTCTTATTAAGAAACTATTCATTTTTGTTTCCCCTTTACAAACTGCGGTCTGAGCAGGCATATTTCATGGAGTTGGTTACAGATTGAGAATTAAACATTACATGGGCAGAACAATCTATAAAAAGTGAGTGCAGGATGGTAGAAACTGATTGAAGAGTGTAGAAATTGTGCTGGATTTCTAGACAGCTTCTGCACTGGCTGAGGGACAGTGTAAAGGTCAGGAGGAATATGTAGGATATGGTGAGGAGGTGGTATGCAAAACGTTTATCACAAGTGTCATGGAATCCTACAGCCTGTCTCTGTCCTGGCACCTTCTCGTTCATCATGTACACCTGTAGTTGTTTCCACCTGTGTCTTGTTAGTCCTTACATGTATACACACCAGGGTTGGATATTAGCACCCGCCAAATGTGGCTGATCTTTTGTAGTGGTGGGTGAATTTGCTCAACCTACAACCACGTAAATAAAAATAGCATATGCAAACAAATAATGTGATTGTTGCAGAGCAATTTGTGACACTTCACAATGCAGACTGAATTGCGAGTCTGCCTGCTTCCCTCAGACACTTCAGCAAGGTAACACAGGGCTACCGTGGCAACTTGAGCATAGAATGCTGACTTGCAACGGTTAAAAGAATCACCTTAGGTCAAGTAGCCCAGGCTAACGTTATAGCAAATAAGCATAAAAACAGTGTGGCATTTCATCCCAGGGGTTACGAGTTCTGCAGAGAAAACCTCCCAGGAGAAAACACAGGCCAAAGAGGTGGAGTTCAAAAAATGTTTTTTCAATGAGATGTGGAGAAAAGCTGACAATGAAGAGTCCGGTGATTGGTTAGTTCATGAAGAGACAAGCCAGATGATGTTCTGTTTGGTTTGTCGTCAACACGCTTTGGATGCCAGTAAGAGAACTAATAGTTTCATTGTCGAGACTAAAAACCTAAATTGGAAGCCATAAAGGGCCATAATTCATCCAAATGACATGTCTAGGTAAAAAAGATAAGGGAAACTCAGCCCTGGAAAATATGGCTGCCATTGAGGCACTTACCATCCTGAAAATGAGCATACTGTTTAGGAATGCCCACACAATTGAGAAAAAAGGTAGGTCATTTCGAGATTACGAATGGCAATGCAAATAAGTTGCCTTTTTTTAGTCTATTTACTAATGTTAGGTCAGAATATCGCTGTCATGTAATGTCATTAGCTAGCTAGCTACATGTAGTTAGCATAAAAGTAATGCTGGCTATCCATTGACACTTAGTGTCACTTTGCTTTTCATACTGCTGGTGATAACAGGAAAGTGACTGGTAATAAAAAATAAAAAAAAAAAGATGGAAGAAAAAAAAAAATTTCCAACCCTGATATACACAGCAGTAATACTGACATATGGCATGGTAGTCTGCTGTGTTAGTGCTGCTGTATTGTGTGTGTATGGTGTGACTGAGTGTATCAGGCTGATATATTTTTTTTAAACACTGCTCATAGTCCACTTTATTAGAAACACCTACTTTGGTGTACAGACAGAGACTGCACATTTTGTGTTAGTCCTCTAGCCTTTCATCAGTGGTCAGGTTCTGACCACAGGAACACTATGAGCTGAATAGTTCTGGATGGTGGCCACTCTTAACCTAGCAGTGTCACTGATATGTGTAAAAACTCCAGCAACACTGCTGTGCCTGATACCACTGGTGCTAAATTGGTGTGAGTGCAGGGATGGACATCATCCCCGCTTGTTGAATATACATGAGATCATTTTGGCTGGTTCCTGGATGGTTTAGTTACAGTGAGTAATGACAAATGAAAGAAGCACTAACCTGCCCTGCCCGTTTGTTACAAATGCAGTCGTTCTGAATATGCATTTACTGTTGTTGTTATGCCAAAACAGTTATTAATAGTCATTATTATTTCTGCTTAAATATCATGATATCATTATTAAGGTATTTTGCTAAAACATTTATAGCAACATGCAGATCAAATTAAGAACTATAGTGACATAATGGAAAAGGCAAAAATGTAATTAGCAATAAAATTCAACCAATTCATATAAAATTCAATTCATATATATTCTCATGAATATATATGAGAAAATGCATGACATTATTCTTATATTATTCCAAAACAATACAGTGTTTTAATATTGACAAATAAAATGGTGGTCCTGTGGTGGTGAGCGGCTGATAAATTATGCAGCAACAGATGGACTACAGTCTGTAAATAATTAGAATTACTCTCTGTATAGTCACTATCTTTTTCAGTGACAATTGTGTCAACAGTGTCTTGTTTTGTTTTCTTATACCTCATGTTCCTCTCTAGTTTCCTATTTTGATGTTTTTCACCTCTTGTCTTATTTTCTCAGCTTTTGACCCGAGTCAGTCTGTTTGGTTTATGAATATGGATATGCCTGTGTTCGCTTAGTCTGCAGGTGTGTTGACCTCTGCTGCCTGTCTTGGAAAAGACTTGTGGAAGCACTTCAGTACCACCAGCTCACTCATACATCAAGACACCTTGAGCAGACCACTGTTTACAAGAAGAAACAGAAAGCAGCAATGGAAATACAGTACTCAAAAGTAGTTTTGGAACACTTCTATCATAGAATGATTTAATTTGTCAGTGTATTGTAGAAATTATGCTTTACCATATTCAAAAGTCACTTCAGCTATATTATGACTTATCAATCAATACTTTCCAACTGAACAATAGCAAGCTAACTTTCACCTAACTATAAATTTCATTAACATTCTGAAAGATAGACAAATCAACAAAATTAAGAAAACTCGAATATTGAGTTGAATTAATTTGAGAGAAAAAAATTGTGTTTTGGTAATAAAATGTCTGGGAGAAAGATGACAGAATCACTTAAAAAAATATAATTAGGAGTGAAAAATGTACTGAAGTGTTCAGCCATGCTCTGGCTGAGCATCAGTTGTGCAAACTCTTGCACCCCATGCTTAGAAGACTTCATGCTGTCATCCAAAAGAAGGGATATGCAACGAATAAAATACTGAATAATATGGTGGAAAATTGTTTGTCCCAATGTTTTAGTACTTAAACTCACTTTACTTAAGTTTTCATTTAATTGGTGGGCTAATTTTAAGTTATAGTTAGTAAACCTGGTTGTTATTGTTTGTTGTTATAGCTTTTCTGATGGATGTGAATGAATAAATGATAACTTTATCTCAGAAAGTAATAAAAAAATGAGTTATAACTTGTAGAGTACCCCAAGAGTGTGGGCACTGTACATAGGAAGTTACGTAGCAGTGGCATGTCTGGGCTGGGGGGGGAATGGATTCTGCCGAAACAGACTTACAAATGACAAATGAATACACTCACTGGAATCAGACTAAAGCCCACAATTTAGTTTGCTAGTTTAAATATATTTTTTGTTTAACTATGTAAATGTCACATATGAACTGTATCCAATAAATAAAATGTCCTACCTATAACTTTGTTTTACACATTGTTTTAAGCGAAAAGTTATTTATAAATACTGTTTACTGTTTTTAATGAGGTTAAGCACCTCATGTACCTTCCTTGTAACTCACTCACTCACATTTAACAGGCTAATGATTTTCCACGGGGGCGCTCTTACCACACTAGCAGGTTCACAGTTTTCCCAGGCTACTTGGGCTACTTTACCAAGACGTATATATTTGAAATATATAAAATGAAATTGAAGCAGCTTATTTCTTTTGCAACTGGATACATTTTTAATTTTGCTGGACCTGGCAAACTTACTTAACCCCCTCTTAAAAACTGTCCACTATTACATAGGAGAGAGGAGGTGTGGTCCTTCTTCCAAACAGTTATTTCATCATCTTATGTTTATGGAAGTGGCCTTCATTTTTCAGTTTTTACTTCCATGTAAATTTCAAGTGACTGTAAAAGGTTGCAAGAGGACACAGACAGAAAAACAGACGCACAGACAGGCCTCTCCAGCTGTGACTGTGAACATCTGCTTTGCCTCTCACATAAACACGTTCTGTTTGACTGCCAACATACACCCTAGGCATGGCCCAGTAGCAGCTGCAGCCCAGTGAGCTATAAACACACACACAGCACACGCTCAAACACACACTACAACTTGCCTCACATCTCTCTCATTCTACCTAGCCATTTAAAGGGTTCTTCCACAGCACTGAGTCAAAAACAAAACCCTGCTTACGGAACATGGTCATGTACTGCCTGCAGTTGAGGTTCCAGTAGCCCCAGTTGGTCCTGTAGCCATGTAGCGTAGCATATTCTTCATGGTTATACGCTGGCTCTGTGCCAAACGTGTCAATCACTCGAATGTGACACCTGTCGGAGAGAAGAAAAGGGGTGCGGTGAAGCGATTAGAAGTTAAGATGACACCAGTTCATGTCCTGTGTGTCACAGTACTGACAGACCTCTGTCGTTTGACATCTTTTCCTTTTGGAGTCTAGGTAGCTTCTCTTAAAAATAAAGCTAGTCTCTTAAAAATAAAGGTTCCTCAATAGTTCTTGCCTTAGATGTAAGATTCAAAGAAAAAAACCTTTATATTTTGCAAGAATGTGTACATTTTGTAAAGGTTAAGGTTCTTCATACTTACATATCATACCAAAAATAGTTCTTTAAAGCAGTTAAAAAGAGAACCAGTTAAAAGGTTCTTAAACTGGTCCTCAGGGTCCACCAGATGATGTGGGTTCTAGTCCTGTTCATTGTAAGTTAGGTTGGAGCAAAACCATATGACCTAGGACACCCTGAGAAGTAGTATGAAAACATCTGCTTTAACGAACAATCAATTGGCACCTTTCATTTTTAAAGAATAGCAAATTGAGGAGTTTTCATATTAATGATACCAAGGAAACTAAAGAAAAGACCCATCTTTAGCAGATGGAGGCTGTTCCAGTGAAGGCAGTGGTTTGATATAAGTACAGACAATTGGAGCAATTTTCTGTCATTATGATGACTGGGAGACCACCTGTCGATAACAGCAGGAAGCAGCGACCTGGTTTGTTGGCTAAAAACATCAGAACATCAGAACATCAGATCTTGGTGTCCTAAGCTGTCTGAAGTGGCCTTGTGTTTCACAGATCAAGCCTAAATTTTGCAAAAACAACTTCAGAATTGAAGATGTTGCCCCCTCCCACATCACCATGGATGCTTAGCTAAAGAGGATTTGTTCTTTTGTTCTTTTTCACTAACAGGAGTGATGCCATTGATCCCATTGCTCGCTCTGATCAGTTCCCCCAATGGGGGCTGATCCACAGTGGGGTTAAGTCTAACCCCATGCTGGGTTCAGTCATCCTTGGATGCCACTGCAAGCAGAGCTTTCTCTATCTTTCTGAAAACGAAACCATTGAAAGACAGATCCTGTCAGCCAGGCTGCCTTCTTTCTCTCGAGTGAATCAAAGCAGGACAGAGAGAGACCAAATATAAACAGAGTACAATTGGAAAATTAATGCACAATAATGTTTATTTGCTGAATTTGACATTATGGACAAAAGAACAACAATAAAATTTGGCTCAGTTGGTTAGTTTAACTTTTTTCCAATATGCTAAACTCAGCAAATAATTAAAAATTGTGCATGGAAAATCAACAGACCATGTCATTTGACCAGGGGGTGCCTTTGCATACAACTGTACACCCACTGGCCACTTTATTAGAAACATTTACCTTGTAGCTTCACCTTGCTGGTGTACAGTTAGAGACTGTAGCCCATCTGTTGATGCACACCACTGTACCTGATACACTTACACCAGTGCCACACACAGTTTTATATCATTTTCATGTCTCACTGCAATACCCAGCATGCATTATGCAAAATACATCATGCAATCATTGGTAATCCCTGTGGTGTCAACCAATCCTGACTGCTAGCCTAGTAACAGATCTATAGGCTGGTAAATACATCCAAGTTAGCATTACTTTATTTGTCAAGCCAAATTGTAACAAAAACAGCAGTTCTATCTTTATTCAGTTTTTTTACAGTTAAAACTGCCAATGAGTGCAAGTTATTTATTTTTTATAGCATCAGGGGAAAAAAATGAAAAGATATATATAACAGAAAATTACTCTGAAGCCTTAACAGCTAAATATAATATCATCTTTTCAGTATTCAGTGCGTCCATCTGTTGCTTGCCTTTATTACAGCTTCCTTTTTTTCCAGAAGATTCGATTTCAGCTTTTCACAGAAATCTGCAGGGATATTTTTCCACACCTCCCAAATTCAGTCTTAGAAGTTGGTTGCATTTTCTGCTTCACATGACCCAAGTAATCCCAAACACATGCAGTACAATTGAGGTCTGGACTCTGGGGTGGTCAGTCCATTGTTTTGAGAACACCAGCAGCTTCTTTGTTTGGTTTACAAACGTTGTTCTTTTTTGTCCATTTCCTTTTCTCAGTAAGTGCTTCTTGACAGCTACACATCCTTTTAGAGCCACAGTGTTGAGTTGTCTTCTCACAGCGGATAGACAGAAACCCTTTTTTTTCCTGAAGTAAGAGCAGAGCTTGATTTTCTCCTCTCTCTCAAAGATGAAAGGACCTCATGAAGCTGCCAGTGAGTGGAAGTACGAAGTAGAAGTTTGTAATAAAGTGCATGGTGAGTATATTTATATCCACTCCCTGACCACTTTATTAAAAACTCTATATATATATTTGCATTTGCTCAGTAATGTTGTGTATTTTTGAGAGACGCTCCATTAAAGCTGGTTTCATGTTATAAGCACCACAACACGTCTCAGTTCTCTGCAGTGTGGTCTCGAGGAATCATACTGACTGCAGAACTCTGACTGACTCAAGTAGAGCAGATCTAATCTATCAGCAAATAACCTCAAAGTGCAGTCTGGGTCCTCGGGCCAGGAAATGAAAGTCTCTCACACACATGCACACAAGCTTCCAGTGATCTGGTAACCCTGCAATGACACTGTGATCAAAAGTGCTTAGGTTTCTCAATATATTATACAACATTAAGCAAGTGACATCGCTGCTCTGAACTGGCTAAACTGTAAGGCCTGTTTCCACACTGGCTAATTGAGTTAGCAGTGGTGGGCTACCGCTGTCTGTATTTATTCACAGTTCAGTTCACAGCACCTTATTTTCTTTGCTGTCCCTTCCTCTTTTGGGTCACTGCACAGAAACAGTTTAGACCTATGAAAAGATTTCTGTATGTGGGGCGCCAAGAGGTGGACCCTGAACAAATTACTCGCGAAGTTCCACAAAAGTCAATATATAAAACCCTGCCATTTAGCTTTGCAATGGTTTGTGCCGTGTGTTTGTGCGATCCTAATTAATTTGAGTCAAAGCAAGGCTCGGGCCCCCTGCTCCGGTGCGTTCAGGAGGAAATTAAATATGCAGCTCAAGAGAAAATAGAATGGAGCCATGCTTGGCAATAAAACAAAAAAAAAAATGTGGCTAAGTCTAAAGGCTAAATGGATTCATTACGCCTGACAAATCAGCCTCTTTTCCTCCCCTTCCTCTGCTGGAGCCATAGTTTTTTACTGAGATTTTTTACAATCCCATTATCAGAAAGACAGCCTCTAATTGAGCTACCAAGAATTACAATAATTGCGATGCTTTATGCATGAAGCAGTTTCAACATGAGTTGTGAGACACAAATATTATCCATAATGTATGAAGCAACTTTCAGGATCACTTTACACAAGGCAGCTTTGAGGATTCAATGCTGTCGAGTAACTGCTCCGGTCTTAATCTCTTCATTATTTGCCCCATTGATGGAAGCAAACTGCTGTACAGAGCAGATTCCCGTGGGAATAGGTCTGCTGAGTCAGTTGGAAGTGAATGACAGTGTGATGTGGGACAGCTTGTGGATTTACATCACTGAGGAAACAAGCTTATATTGCCTGTTTTACTTATTTGAGTAAGGGTGCTGATGTAGGACCTATTTTTTATTGAGTGCTGTTGTCACATGTCATCTGAACTTAAAGCAGTCTTACTTCTAGATGCCTGACACATATAGACCATTCAGAAATGTTTACTAAATGGCCAAAAGAATGTGGACACCCAAGCGTCATAGCTATACAAGCTTGTTGGACATCCCATTCCAAAACCATGGGCATTAATATGGACTTGCCCCGCCTTTTGTGGCATAAGAGCCTCAACCCCTCTGGAAAGGCTTTCCACAAGATTTTGGATTGTGTCTATGGGAATTTGTGTCCATTCAGTCAAAAGAACATTTGTCAGGCCAGGCACTGGTGTTGAACGAAAAAGGCCTGGCTCACAATTAATGTTCCAGTTCATCCGAAAGGTGTTCAGTGAAGTTGAGGTCAGGGCTCTGTGTAGACCACCAGAGTCCCTCTACACCAAACTCATCAATCCATGTCTTAACTGCCCTTGCTTTGTGCAAAGGGGCACAAAACAGAAAAGGGCCTTCCCCAGACTGTTGCCACAAAATTGAAAGCAAAAAATTGTGTAAAATGTTTTGTGTGCTGTTAACATGTTAGCATTAACATTAACCTTCAGTGGAACTAAAGGGCCCAAATCCTGAAAAACATCCCTCCTCCACCAAACTTTACTGTTGGCAATATGCATTCCAGTGTGTAGCTTTCTTCTGGCGTTTGTCAAACCCAGATTCATTTACCAGACTTACCGACAGTGAAGCGTGATTCATCACTCCAGTGAACACGTAGCCATTGCTCTGGAGTCCAGAGACGGCATTCTTTTCACCGCTTGGCATTCCGCTTTTCAATGCTTGGCATTGCGCATAGTGATCTTAGGCTTATGTGCAGCAGCTCAGCAATGGAAGCACATTTCATGAAGCTCTTTACACAGTTTTTGTACTAATGTTGCTTCCAGAGGCAGTTTGGAACTGCAGTGAGTGACGCTACATAGGATAGGTGATTTTTATGTGCTTGTGAGTTTGTGTAGTCTACCACTTCATGGCTCAGCTGTTGCTGATTTGATTATGTAGTTGATAGGAAAGACAGATTATCACTGACCCTTTCACAGCTGGAAAAAAATATTTTAGTGATCTGTATGTTTTTCGCTCTTGTGATGTGTATGCTGATGCAGTATTTACAAGGTAATTATAGATGCCTGTATATGTTATACTGGACAATAACGCATAATCAAGATGATTTATCACTTTGGTACAGATCAAAACCTCCTTTACGTTTGCTTGATATCTTGATTTGGAAGCCATAGCTGGACTTAACTGCTCATACACATTCTGCAGAAAGAGTGGCCGCAGGATGATTCTTTCAGGTTTTGTGAATACAATCTCTACCCGAACAGGTTGCTTGTGCTTTTTCAACACATTTGTACAGTGTTCGCTTTTTTCATGGGAATGAATGTGGGAATGCTCAATATCATGAGTAATACAACTTATATAATGCTTACTCCTTTACCTCTTACTACCTGTAGTTACTATATAAACCCAATTCAATTATCAAACACAGTCAACAGTGTTCTGCAACCACTTTAACTTTTGAAGCACTTTCTCAAGCCAACTTGTATTCATGTTCGTTCCCTTTCTAGTTGTGAAATATTGTATCTACTGCTATTTCATAAATTAAACCATGAAGACAAAATCTCTATCTGCTAATATATTCTAATAGCACTAGCATTTTAGATTCCAATTCAGCTAATGTTACAAAGTAATAATTATTAAAATATCATTCACATTAAAATAATATTCAAGTTTACATTCTTTATCCTTACCTGGTAGAGTAAAAAACATTACATACACTGCCTTTATTACAATGTAAGAATTACAAACTGACAGAAAGAGCCTGAGCTCAAACACTCTCCTCGATGTTACTGCCCCTGATATTAGAGCTTTTGTTACTTATGTAAGACCCATGATATGTTTCAATGAATATGTTGTCCCCTTACTTTCAATATTTATTTTCATTATTTATATTTTAGTCCTGTGATGGACTGGCAACCAGTCCAGAGTGCTTCCTGCCTTTCACCCAGTGAGCGCTGGAATAGGTTCCAGCATTAATAGATTTCTTTAATTAGGTGTATAGCAACATCTACTGTCTGTCTTGCATGTTTTAGCAAAGGGTGTAAGGGACAGATGGTCAGTCAGTGACTCAGTAAAGCAGTCACAGTTGACACACATGACCACAGCTGGTCCAAAAGATTGATGATAAATGAAATCCTCCACGTCAGTGCAGTTAGCAAGCTAGCTAACTTGATAACCATAAACAGTAATGACACAAAAGTGAACATAACTGTTGTATTGTATCACGTAATGGTATACTTGTGGTAGTAGAGTGTTGCACACTAAGTCATACCAAAAATCTGTATAACTTGCATGGTTGGTGAAAGTGGGCCAAAGAGCTAACAGTAAAGAATCTGGCTAAATCACCTATCATACACATAAAGATCCCGTTGTTGTGAAGGAAATGTGTTCCAAAGTCTATAAATCAGTGTGAAACCTTGACCTGAATTGTCACTACAGAAACATATTTTCTCTAAACTTAAGCAACACTTTAAAAAGTAAACATTTTTGTGTTTTAATGAACATTATTATGATCTTATGCATGTACAACTGTTCAAGTCTGTATTTGCAGGTCTTGTACTGATTTCCTTTTTTTCATCTCAAAATGAGCTAAAATTGTCACTAACAAAACACTTCCTAATGAAACATGGTTCTAGCAGTGTTATGATAGTTTTGGTAGTGACAAAATGGAATGTTCAATCATTAATTTTGATAGAATGAACATAATTAAGGCATCTTATTAATATCCTAAGGCATCTCAAGGTACGCGTATTTGAGTGAGGGTCACTCAAGGTGATTTTTTTTTTTTATTTTAGTCTAAAATCAAAGTTTTGAAATGCGATCTGTGTAGAAAGCTGGCATTGGCTGTGGGGTGACTTGTATGCAGCTGCAGTTAGCCATGCAGGTAACATCACATTTAGCAAGTTGGCTAACTTGTCTAAAACAAACAGTAAAACCACAAAAGTCAAAATCATAATACAGTCTCCTGACTGACTGCATATCATGTGGTTTCATGTATTTTTTTATAGTCAGTGGGGAAGAAATGCTAAGAGATTTGTGTTTAGACACTGGTTAAATTAACATTTCCTCAGTTTTGCAGGTTCAGTGCTTTGAAGGGCCATCCTTTCAGAGGTCAGCAAAGCCAAAGCTGTAGTGCTGTTGGTTGAGGATTTGAATTTGTGTGTCAAAGTTCACTGAAGTTGAACTCGACACCATATTTCGGATGCGGAAGTCTGCAACATGAAATTTGCTGGCAAATGCTAGTTACTTTCATAGGATGGATTACAGACTGTTATTGTGCATCTATACAGTGGACTTTTAAGGTAGGAGTTTTTGATGAAGTGGCCAGTGAGCGATGTTTCTGATAAAGTAGACAGTGAGTCTACAGTACATGGACATTACACATTTATGCACACTGACTTGTGCTTCCTGAGTGAAAGGCCCATGTGCTGCTTCATCTGCTGCAGTCCGTGGTAGTCAGTATAGATGAGGTCGAAGGGCAGCGGGCCTCGCAGCGGGCAGCTTCCTCTTCCTGGGGGAACGCCAAGGAACCTGAGGTGAAAAAAAGGTTAACAGCAATAAGAAAAAGCCTTATCAGAACACAGATAAGAGCGTTTGTACAGAGCTGTGATGCATTACGCTCTTTATGGTGAGAGAAAAATGCACCATTAACAACGTGCAAGTACTCTGGTCACGCATTGTTCACTAAGCACTAGCACAGCGAATAGCAAATGAACAAAAGACCATAGAGCCACTGGAGGAGCTCTTTCAGGGCTGCTCTTTCATTTGTCTCAGAGAGGGCTTGTGCTTCTGGATGTTTAATGTGGTTACAGTCGTATGATGTCTGGAACACACTGATGTGCGCACGCACAAGCGCACAATCTGTCTGCCATTGCTAATAGGGAGTGAAAGAAGCACTTTGTAGTCTTCCAGAATACACACAGACGCGTAGCACACCACTCATGGGATGAGGGACGCCCCTCCTTCCACATGTGAAATTTATGACTATCAGCAGGCAGCCTGTCTGTGCGTGATAAGGCTCCATCCATCTCCATCCAGTATTCGCACATGCAATATCTTGGATCATCTGACAGTAAAAGGACTCTCCTCTGGTGCTGCTATGGAGAAACTCTGGCTGATCTTTGTCTCCTCATATTTCTGGGCAGAGGCAGATGGTACCAGAGAGAATATGTAAACCAACACTGAGCTGCTCTATAAATGAGTGCTGAGCTCTCATTCGGGCCTACTGGAGCCCACCCATGTCCCGCTTGTACAAAGGAAAGAGAGACAGAGGCCACGGATGCAATATGATGCTGTCAAATACACAATTCACTCACAGTCATCTTAACCACAGGGGTGAGTGGGCATTTGACCCATCACTTGTGGTTTGTTGTGGTTTACCAATTAGATGGTTGGCTCTTTTTATTGAAGAGCAGGACTTTCCCCCTAAACAGACACCATGTTGAGTGTCACAAGCTACTTCATTCATTTTTCAGCCAGTGAACTGTATCCTCCTCCTTCATAATTTTATTTTTCACTTTGAATTTTTATAAAAAAAACAACAACAAAAAAAAACAGAAAGGCCTTGTACAAAGTAGTTTTCCTCAAAGAAAAGAGAAAAGAATTATTATTTATTATTAATTTATTTAACTAAATAAAGAACAAACAGACACAAACACAAAAAAACACAAACCACGCAAACCATGTAAGTTGTTTTATATACATTGTTAGAGTGAAAGCAGAGTTGTCTTCATCTGTTTTTTGAAGCAGATGTGTTACAGTACATTAAAAGTGTGTTACAGATGTGTTACAGTTTTTTAGAGGAGGTGGTAGGCAATTCCAGATTGAAGATCCTTGATGACAGAGTATAAACTGTCTGAGTGACGTCCTAAAGAAAAATGTGAGGTGGTTATTAGTAGATCTCTTGGAGTAATGATGAACGTCATAGTTGTTTTGAAACAAAACATTGGCTGTCCTTCTCAAAAACAGCCAGGAAGAAAGTTGTGTATAAAGCAAAAAAAAATTGAACTTTTTGAAAAAAAAAAAAAACTGTCACAATTGAAAATAGTAAATTTCATACACATTCAGTCACTAATTAGCAGTGACTTTTCCAAGAATATTGAAGTTACTTTTGAAAGTACTGGCTCAGGCAAGGGTGATGTATGGGGTGGGGGGAGGGGGAGTGAAGTTAGGACGATTTTAAGGGCCTGTGACTGACAATTATATTATAATATAAAAATTATTAGAACATTAGTTTTTTTTTCAGCATTAAATTATTAACACATCTTCATTAATAGAACATTGTGTTTACAAGGTACCTTTAAAACTAACAACTTCGTTTTCTTTTTCTTTTTTTTTTGGCAGTACTTGCTAGCAGTGAGGAGTTTCAGTAGAGCGTCATGTCTCAGCTTCCTAAAGAAAAATCTGACCTTCAAAAACGAAAAGAAAGACAGTAGAGAGAGAAAAGAAAGAGTGACAGTTTGTCACACAGTTTTTCTCAAACAAAGGTGGGTGTAGTCTGTCAGTGGTGGAAACTGACTTGTTAGCTTAGCCCACAGTGAGAAAGGCTACTTCTGCTCCACTAACATAAGTCACTTAATGGCCCAATCCCATCTCACTCCTACCACTTAGCCCTTACCCCTCTGTTTTGCGTGTTCATGCCTCGGGGTGGGGTGTCCCAATTTTTCTTGAGATAGAGAGGTGGGGTGAAGTGTCAGGGCTACATGGCCCTCCAAACGGAGGATTTTCAGAGGCACATTCAGAGATCAAAGAAAGCTACAAATTTGTTGAAAAATACAATAACCATTGTATTATCTTAGTTTAATGTCGTTTCAATGCATTATGGTTCTTTTCTTCATAACAAGCATCAAAAATCGCTAGTAGTTTGCTGATGTCTCAGTAGCTAGCTAGCTAAATTTCCTGTTCCACCATTAATGGTGGAGCAGTTACATTCTGGCACCTCATGCGTCAGAACCATTTAAGGTGGAACAGGAAAACTTGAACAAGAAGCTGGCAAATAGCCGACTTCAGCTTCATATCACTGAAGAATTAGAGGTGGGTGATAATAAATAATTGCCACCCCCCTTGTTGAAGGCATATGATGCCCTAAATGTAACTAAAGCTCAGCGGTGAGGTTGCTGAACTTTACCACTCCTCTGCTATCACTGCAGACCGGCAGGGTTGCCTACAGAGCACCGTTCCATTTTGTAGGGGGAAGATATCAACCACTACCCCTTGTTACTCAGTACCCCTTGTTACTCAGTTCCAAGGGGCAAGGTGACACTCGAAAACAAGGAGTTCAAATTTGGTGAGAACAAAATATCACTTTAAGCCTTCTGAGAGTCCCAGATTACATGACTGGCTGTGAATTTGAGCAGTAGTTTAATAAGTGGGTTGTTAGACACAGAAGACAGCAGCAACAGCTCTGTGCCAGCCAGTCAACTGTGAAACTTCTACAGGATAAAACATGCTTATATGTCTGTTACAATCAACATGGAATACCATTAGGAGCTTCAAATGTCTGTTTAATCTAGAACGGCTAAAAAATGTTCAAGTGAATTGCTTGGCTTGGCGCTGACAAACTCCTAGAATCTCTTTGGGACACTAACAGAAGTAAGCATTATTGTAAAGCTGTTTTTTTCATCACCTGTCCAGGGTGCGTCCTGCCTTACTCCTAATTACTGCTGGGATAGGCTCCAGCACGCCCCACGACCCAGAAGGATAAGCAGCTTAGAAAATGTGTGTTTGTGTCTTTTTTTCATCATGTTTTGACATTTATATCCTGAATTAAAGTTCTGCTTCTAGCAATAATGTTTCGTAATGAATAGGTTTATTGGGACATGTTATTAGATTATGCTATATGTCAGTGATTCTCAAACTGGTCCTCAGGGCCCCTTGATGTTCCCCATTTCACTCTGACTCAAATTGCAATAGAAAGCGACAGTGGACAAAAATGTGTCCTGTCTGGAGGTCCCTGAGGACCAGTTTTGATTAGTTAATTAGTGGCCCAGTTGACTTTTTCAGTCAGTTTGTCATATTTCAGTCAGTCATGGTTCCTCTACCACACTTTGATGTGTTTTTTTTGTATTTGTTTAATAAATAGATCCACTAAATTTGGCCCCACCTCTTTTGGAAGTGTGGCATCACCCCAAATGGGCTTGATGTACTGATGTCTTCTCAAGTAGAGACACACTGAAAACTGAATGCAAGAATTCTTTTGTATGGTATAGTAGATACATATTAAACATCTACTGGGAATTGTGTTGGGGTTGGAGGTTCCCCTTAGAGGTGGACCATGACCTGCAATTTTTGGTAGACCATAGTTTAGTTCTTTGTTGTGGATGTAGTTTCAAAACAAACCGAATTAAAGAAAAAGTTCATTTGGTCTGTTCTGAATAAGGCAGGTGTGAAAGAGCCCTAAAAAGCATTCTGTGCAAGAATAAATACTAAAGCACTTATACGCATGTCTTCCCTCATGCACTCGCTGATCTGAAGGATCAGTCTCCACCACTCAAAGCCTCCTTATCTAACATGAAAACACATGGTGTCAATGTCCAGTGGCTAAAATGTTCTCCTGGTTTTGTTAATGTTAACATGGAATCCAGACTTGTTTTTACTTTAAATTGGCCTACATTCATATTTTCTCAATTCTCAAACATGTGTGTCTGCATGGAAATGATGTAAAATCCTGTTCATTTTTGCATAATAAAATGTCTTCATATGCAGTCCTCTTTGTGCTGCTTAAGTTTTTAGTCTGCTATTGCAACTGATACAGATGCTACCAGCCATGTTTTGCATATTTTGTCCCTGTTGTAGTGTTCAATACACAAGCTTGACCACCAGCTGCATCTGATATGTATGTTTTTTTATAATTGGCTTTAAATGTGCCTTACATGGATTGATTAGTGTTTTCTGTAGGGTTTTTCAAATTGTTCTTCCAAATTTTGCTGGGTGTCTCTGTTGCATGCCTGTACTGGGAATGATCTGTCGTGTAGCAGGAGGTGGCACTCTACAACAGCCATAAAAATATGATGCAAAACGTTAATAAGTGCAATGTGAAATCTCCTGAAATAGACAAGTGGATTCTATAAAAAAAAATCCATTATTCACAAGAGGAGTCACATAACACGTCCAGCAATCACAAGAAACCCAGACATGCCTCTGTGTGTGCACAAGCCCATTTTCCAGCTTGGAACACACATCATGCAACGTCTGACTTAATGTTGCATTTGTGTTGCAGAGCTGGCACTGAAGCTGAGTGAGTAAGGATGGAAACAGTAGCCTTTTCAGTCGAAAGTACCACCTGCAAAAGTAAACTAATGTAACTGAATTGACTTCTGTAACAACAGCATGTTCATTGTATAAATACAGTCTTATGCAAAGTTAAGTTGATTTTCTAAGTGGAAATAAGTGAACACATCCACTACAGAGAACACACTTCTGCACATTTTAATATACGTTTCTATAATGTGTCATACCTTTTGCACAGGCCACATTTTATGTCCAACATGTTAAATTGAGAAAATAAACAGTATTTGAGTGTTAAAATGTGC